ACAGTGTAAAGCTGGATTTGACTTTGAGCATCAATCTGAAATGTTTTAACAGGTGAGTTAAATGTAAATGTTCATTTACATTCTGTATACTCTGTATAAATTATATATTTGTTCTCAACTCTACCACAGTATGTTTTATTTACTGCGTTTTCCATAGTTCATCTCTTTTGTGTCATATATTTCTCGACCATTTTGTTCTTTTGGTATTGAGGAAGTTCGGGTATTTTGTTTTAGTGGTTATCTTTATATTAACATACTTTATAATGTGCTTAATTCCCCCATTTCCTCATTTAGGCTACTACTATATGATTCATTGGTTTTAAATGATATCCTTTGACCCCATCTCAAGCTATTACGGAAGGAAAGGGACTTGCTTTCTGGTCCCACTGCATTTGCTGGCTGGCTTCTACAGCACTCCCGTCTCCTTGGTTGCCCGTGTCCTGGAGCACCAGACAGTTTAGTAAAGTATCCAGTGGCCAGCAGCTCCGCCTCCACCACCTTCTCCCATCTTAAATGGTTTTGTAAGAGTTTCTACAGAGATACACACCTCTCCATGAACAGTCTTTTCCGCACCATAGAAGGCGAATTTCTAGCAAGTTCCACTGCTGTGGCACTAGTGATTTCTCTCACCCAGTGAGCAACTGCGCCCCTGCCAACACAGCTTACATCTCAGGCCTGAGATGGGGGAAGGGAGGCTCTTCCTTGGGCTGTCTATCTCGGCCCCAGTGTAGTGGCTTCTCCTTATGTCTGCTCTTCATATATTCCTTACAGTTCTCTGCCTTTTGACTAGCCAATCCCTCACTCCAACTCTGTTAGAATTAACAATTTCATTAAACTTTCTGTGTTCCTTCTTCACTGGACCCAGACTGGTACCATACTATTCTACTCTTGTCCTTAACCTTTGTTTTTCTTAGATATATCATCTGTTATTTGGATGAAGCTCTTTCCATAACTGATTTAGGAAGCAGTTGGGGGTCACAATATTTCCCGTGTTCTTGCAGGTTGAAAACTCTTTCAGTGTAATCTCAGCACTTGAAAATACAATTTATCTAGATATAAATCTGTCTTTTCATTTTCTTTCCTCAAATTTCTTAATAATGCTCCTCTGTTTATAGTCTTGCTTTGCATTTTGCTGTTGAAAAGTATGATGTAAACCTGACTTTCTTTGCCTTGAAAATAATTTGGCTATTTTGCTGGAGGCTTAGATGAATTTTTCTTTATTCACAGAGTATAATTGTTTTACTAGAAAAGGTCTTAGAGTTGACAATTTTCCAGGAATAAGGAAGGCTTTTTCAGTATGAAGGTTCAGGTGCTTTCCCATTTTTGGAACATTTTCTTACATTACAATTTTAAGTATTAACCCTATTATCTGCTTCAGGGAATCCAAATATACATGTACACATACATATACCCAGAAGACCTTTTTGACTACATACTATATCTAACAGTTCCTTTCTGATACTTTTAAACCTTTTCTTCTAACATTTAGCTTTATTCTCTTGACTGTTTTATTTCTTTTTTCAATGTCTCTTATTATATTTTCAGTTGAATATATTGTCCCAATGGGTACCTTGGAATGGAGTCTTCAATTGAGATTATTTTTCTTTCTTCACTTTTTTCCCTTGAGTTTGCACAATTCTATTTTCACATCTTCCTATTTACTGTGCATTTCTAGTCTATTTACTGTGCATTTCTAGTCTGACTTAAAATTTATGGTTCAAGGTATTATTTTTTATAGCTGTCAATACTTATTTAATTCAAGATGGGTCACTGTGCAACAGTTTTCCTCTGATTAGTCACTGATTTTTGGCTTAGAATTTTCAGTAGTTAAAATGGTTTTATCTTCTACTTCTGTCTTTCTTCATGTAGAAGTTTTTTTTTTTTTCATGCAGAATTTTTTTATGGATGTTGACTGCTGTTTCCTAATGTTTTCAAATGTCTTATATTTTCTTGGGCTAGCAAAAAAAAGGATGTTCCATTTTGTCAGGGAATTTGGGTCATGAGTTTTCTGTTGGCATAATGAAATGCGGCTTCTTTGGTGAAGCCTGTTTGGAATGTGGTGGGATAGGAAGACCTGAATGTCTTCGGATTTTACAATTCTCTTTGTTCCTGTATAACTCTAAATGATTACCCATGGCTTCCTTCTTTTCCTTCAACATTATGTTTACCTCTCCCATGAGGGCAGTTATCAGCCCACGGCTGCTATCTCTGGTCCCTCACACTTTTAATTCATTCTCTTTCTTCTGATTCTCCAGTAGACAATGCTTTAATCAAGTATCTCTTAGTTGTCTTTCAGTATTGCCCACTCTGAATGGGCCTATCTTTTTGTGGGGTGATTTTGGCCGTGCTGGGGCCCCATTGCCCTCTGCCTTTTTAATGTAGCTTTTAACTACATAAAACTCTTCATTCTGGTATGGGGTGGGTATTAGCTTTATTGGTTTCAGATCTTTACATCTGAACATGCAGACAGCATGTTATTGAAATGTGTGGTATTCTTGACTCCTAGTTATGTTTAGGCATGAGTTATGGGTGGCTTGATTTGCTTTCCTTTTTGATCCTTATGTTTCTGGAGAATTTATGGAAAAATTTTGATGTAGATGGTCACCATTATCCCTGGGAACTTATATTTTGTAACAGCCTTTCAAGATGCTTCTAAACCATGGTTCATAAAATCAGTTGAGAACCTTATGGTACTATGCAGCTACAGAAAGGAATGAGAAACATCTCAATACTAAGAAGTCATTTTCAGGACATATTGCTAAATGAAAAAAGTAAGATTTGAGAAAAATATGTATAGTATGTTGTCATTTATATAAGAAGGGAATATATGTACACACACACACTCACAGATATATTTGCTTATTTTTAAAAATGGAGTATGAACTATTAAGTTAAAAGAAAGTGGTTACTCTATGGCAGAAGTAAGGGATAAGGTAAAGGGCATTTCTCCGAATATACTGTTTTATAGATTTCAAGAATGGTTTATATACATACGAGGCCAAAGATAGAACAATTCAAGAATCAACAAGGATAATCAGTGCAATGGAGTGAAAAACATCAAATATGTATGAATCTTTGAGTTTATGATATTAAATACAATAATAGCAATAAGACTAAGTAATTTTGGAGGATAACGGCAATCCAATTTATTATTCTGAAAAGTGGTAAACAAAGAAAAGAATCAATCATTTAAACTGTCTTTCCTGTATGAACTATGCTTCAGGATAACCAAATAGTTGAAAGTTTATTTTAATAGACATAATCCATTTAATTTATGTGGACAGAATGATAATATTAAAATTTCCCATTTTGCAACCAAAATGAATTGATAGGTCTAAATCAGGGGTCAGAAAGCTACAGCCAGAAGGCTGGACAACTTGTTTTGTAAATAAAGCTTTACTGGATCACAGCCTTGCCCATTTTTTTATGTATTGTCTATGACTGCTTTCAAATTACAAGGAAAAAGCTGACAAGTTACAACAGAGAATATATGGCCTGTAAGCCTGAAATATTTACTATCTGACTCTTCTTTAGAAAATCTGCCAACCTCTGCTCTAGACTACAAGCAGTAATGGCTGCTACATTATAAAATGAGACACAACCAGACCATATATACTTCTTAATCAATGTAAATATCACTACCTATGAAATATTCTTATTGAAAAAAACTGAACCTTAACCTGATCAAGCCTCTAGATCTAGTTACCAATTTCTAGGACAAGAGGTCAGAGAAACATGTTAAATGATACCAGAGAGATACAATCAGCAAAATCTAATTGTGGGAAAATTTAAAGAAAATGACTTAGGTTTTTCAACAAATAAATTGCAAGGAAAAAACAAGGGAGGAGGAGAACCCATAGATTAAAAGATACTTGAGGAACATATCACCCAACTGCAATATGTTGATTTTTTTTTGGATCCTGATTCAAAACAAATGAAATAAAGAGAGGAAGAGACAGACAGACAATAGGGAAAATTTAAATACTGAGTAAATATTTGTTGATATTAAGGAAGTATCATTATTTTATTCACATGTGACAATATTATTATGGCTATGCTTTTAAAATATTAACTATGAGAGAGATACATAATAAATATTTAGTGATAAAATGATACTATGTTTAAGCAACGGGCAGGAGTGTGCAGGGAATGTATATAGGTACTAAGAAAACAAGACTACTATCAAGGATAAAAGATACATGGACTTTCATTCACTGTGGTTTTTTTTATACTTTTGTATATGTTTGAAATTTTACATTACAAGTAAATTTTTTAAAGAAGGAAAATGTTAAATAACCACTTGGGGAAGTCTTTCAAATGACACTTTCCTCTAATGCTCATTTAATTTAGCACAGCCTCCTGAGGGGAACACAGCCTATAAGCCATCTCCATCCTCCAGTAAGACTCACTGCAATAGTGACTGACGGGAATTGATGAAATGTGCTTAATCACTCAGGTATACTGACACTAAAAAAAGGTGAATCTGATCTTGAAGAGAAAAATACAGTCGTGTCATTAAAGTAAAATAATGCATTTTACTTAATAATTGATTCAAAGTGAGAAAATTCCGAAGACCAAGTGAGAATTTAGGGGAAAGGAGATAAGGGATCTTTATGATAGTCACTCTTTCTAACGGGAGATTTTTCTCTCACTGCCTGTTGTGACTGTAGGATTTGGTAAAAGAGCCATGGTTTTTTGAGGCAAGTTCAATGGCAAGACCTTCTTTCATCCTTTTCCTCAGGGTAAATGGGACCTGACAATGAAGGATGAAGGGTGTGGTTTCTCATTAGAAAAAGGAGAGCTGAAGAGAAGCTTGGATATCACAAGTTAATGTAGAATGGGGAGGTCCAGATTTTACAGCTCATTTCATGTTAGCTGGGCCTTTTGGACCATACAAAAAAGAAGGCATGGGCAGGTGACCCTGTGTTTTCTTCTAATACGACGTATAATTTGAGGAAGATAACTAATGGGCTAGGGAGAGCTTGGGTCCCCCATTCTACTCACCCAGAGGGGGCTGCAGCATACCCCCATTCTTCTCACAGTTCCCGATAGGCTGAATTTCAGCTGAGTCAACCAGCCGCCAGAAGTCATTCTTGTTGTCGCTGCCATCAAGGCGAAGGCGGAGGCGAGCACCTGTCAGTCCAACTACTGTGGCAATACAGGTAGATGTGGTGTTCCTGGGGTCCTGTGCTTCCAATTTCATGCTGATCTTGAACTCGTTGCTTGGAGGTGTGTAGGACTGAGGAGAACAAGCCATGGGGATTAGGCAGACTAAGAATACGTGGCATTTTCAGTAAGGATATTAGGCGATGGTACCTGAAAATTTATGCTTTGGATGCAAATTGATTACAGCTGAGTCAGGGACAACCCTTGTGAATTATTTCCTAATACCTAGGAAGGCTCTCATGAAAAAGAAACACTGAAATGTAAAGTGAAGGGGAAAAATTACTTTTCAGTGAAGCATCAAATACTGACTCACCAGTAAGAAAAGGATAAGAGTATCTCAAATGGTCCTTGCCTAAATGTGGTTTTTTATCCTATCTTCTCCAATTCCCTAACCCTCCAGGTATTCTTAATATTTTCTTTGCAGAAATCATCCTATTAAAATATCATATCCTTACTGTTTCTTCATGGAGTGCTTCAGTATGTCTACCATACAGACTAACCAACGGGAATAGGTTATTTTTTTTACTTTGACATTAACTTAGAAATCAATTCCTGTTTTTTAAAAAAACAACTTCAAGTTATAATTGACATACAATGAACTACACACTTAGGTTGAGTACTGACATATGTATACACTCATGATACCACATACATCACAACACTCTGGAAACCATCATCACTATCAAGATAATGAACATGGACATACTCCCAAGTTTTGCATATCCCTTTATGATCTGTCCAGCCCTTCCCAGATCTCTCTTTCTCCAGGCAAACACTGCTTTACTTTCTATCAGTGTAGACTGTTTTGCATTTCTAGACTTAAAATGGACTCATACAGAATATACTTTTTTTTTTTGGATCTAGTTTCTTTCACTCAGCATAACCATTTTGATATTCATCCATTTGTTGAATGTATCAATAATTCATTTCTTTTTTGTTAAGACTCAGTTCTAAGAGCAGTTTTAGGTTCACAGCAAAACTGAGAGGAAGGTACAGAGATTATAAACATTTATAAACATCCTGCTCCAACACATGCAGTGTCTCCTCTATTTTCAGTATCTCCTAACACAGTAGGACATTTATTACAACTGATGAAACTACACTAACATATCATAATAACCCAAAGCCCATTATTTAGAGTAAGGTTCTCTCTTGGTGTTGTATACTCTATGAATTTGGTCTAATGGAGACATGTATCTATCATTATAGGATCATACAAAATAGTTTAACTGTACTAAAAAATCCTCTGTACTTGGCCTATTTATCCACTCAATCTCTGGCAACCACTGATCTTTTTACTGTCTCCATAGTTTTGCCTTTTCCAGAATGTCATATAGTTTGACACACAGTACACAGTTTTTCAGATTGGCTTTTTTCTCGTAGTAAGATGCATTTAAGTTTCCTCTATGTCTTTTCATGGCTTCACAGCTCATTTCTTTCTAGGGCTGAGTAATACTCCATTGTCTGGCTATACTACAGTTTGTTTATCCACTCACCTACTTAAAAAACATCTTGGTTGCTTCCAGGTTTTGGTGATTATGAATAAAGATGCAACAAAATCCATACACACATACACACACATATAAATACACACAAACACATGTTTTTGTGTGGACATAAATTTTCAACTTCTTTGGATAAATATCAAGGAATGCAATTGATGGATCATATGGTTAAGAGTATGCTTAGTTTACAAGAGATTTCACCAAACTACCTTATAAGATGTCTGTACCATTTTGCATTCCCACAAGCAATTAATGAGAATTCCTGTTGCTCCACATCCTTGCCAGTACTTGGTATTATCAGTGTCCTGGGATTTGACATTATAATATGTATGTAGTGGTATCTCACTGTTGTTTTAATTTGCATTTCTCTGATAATATATAATGTAGAACATTGTTTTTACGCTTGTCATCCGACAATCTTTGGTGAGATGTCTGTTAAGATCTTTGATCTTTTCTTGAGTTATTTTCTTACTTTGAGTTTTAAGTATTCTTTGTATATTTTGGGTAACAATCCTTTGTCAGACACGTCTTGTAAAAATATTTTCTCCCAGTCTGTGGCTTGTCTTCTCATTCTCTTGACAGTGTCTTTCATATAGTAGAAGGTTTTATTTTAATGAAGTTCAGCTTATCAATTATTTCTCTCATGAACTGTGCCTTTGGTTTGCACCTAAAAAATCACTGCCACACCTAAGGTCATCTTCAGTTCAGTTCAGTCGCTCAGTCGTGTCTGACTCTTTGTGACCCCATGAACTGCAGCACGCCAGACCTCCCTGTCCAGCACGCTAGGCTCCCTGTCCATCACCAACTCCTGGAGTTTACCCAAACTCATGTTCATTGAGTCAGTGATGCCATCCAACCATCTCATCCTCTGTCGTCTCCTTCTCCTCCTGCCTTCAATCTTTTCCAGCATCAGGGTCTTTTCAAATGAGTCAGTTCTTTGCATCAGGTGGCCCAAGTATTGGAGTTTCAGCTTCAGCATCAGTCCTTCCAATGAATATTCAGGACTGATCTCCTTTAGGATGGACTGGGTGGATCTCCATGTAGTCCAAGGGACTCTCAAGAGTCTTCTCCAACACCAGAGTTCAAAAGCATCAGTTCTTCAGCGCTCAGTTTTCCTTATAGCCCAAATCTCACATCCATACATGACCACTAGAAAAACCATAGCCTTAACTAGACGGACCTTTGTTGGCAAAGTAATGTCTTTGCTTTTTAATATGCTGTCTAGGTTGGTCATAACTTTTTTTCCAAGGAGTAAGCGTCTTTTAATTTCATGATTGTAGTCACTATCTGCAGTGATTTTGGAAAAAATAAAGACTGTTTCCCCATCTATTTGCCATGAAGTGATGGGACCAGATGCCATGATCTTAGTTTTCTAAATGTTGAGCTTTAAGCCAACTTTTTCACTCTCCTCTTTCACTTACATCAAGAGACTCTTTAGTTCTTCATTTTCTGCCATAAGGGTGGTGTCATCTGCTATCTGGGGTTATTGATATTTCTCCCGGCAATCTTGATTCCGGCTTATGATTCATCCACCCCAGCATTTCTCATGATGTACTCTGCATATAAGTTATATAAGCAGGGTGACAATATACAGCCTTGATGCACTCCTTTCCCTATTTGGAACCGGTATATTGTTCCATGTCCAGTTCTAACTGTTGCTTCCTGACCTACAGATTTCTCAAGAGGCAGGTCAGGTGGTCTGGTATTCCCATCTCTTTCAGAATTTTCCACAGTTTGTGGTGACCCACACAGTCAAAGACTTTGGTGTAGTCAATAAAGCAGAAATAGATGTTTTTCTGGAACTCTCTTGCTTTTTTGATGATCCAGCAGATGTTGGCAATTTGATCTTTGGTTCCTTTGCCTCTTCTAAATCCAGCTTGAACATCTGGAAGTTCATGGTTCATGTACTGCTAAAGCCTGGCTTGGAGAATTTTGAGCATTACTTTACTGGCCTGTGAGATGAGTGCAATTGTGCAGTAGTTTGAGCATTCTTTGGCATTGCCTTTTTTTGGGACTGCAATGAAAACTGACATTTTCCATCTTAGTATTCTCCTATGCTATCTTCTAGGAGTTTTAGTTTAGTGTTTTACAGTTAGGTGTGTGGTCTGTTTTGAATTAATTTTTTTGAAGGGTGTTAAGATCTGTATCTATCATCTTTTGATTCATGTAAGGACTGTGTGACCTTTTACATGATGAAATTACTATATTGTTATCTGATAATATCCTTTGCCTCTGAAATATACTTTGATATTAATGTCATTTCAGCTTTATTATAATTTTTGATTCTTTTACTTTTAACCTGTTTTTATCTTTAAAGTATAATTCCTTGCAGGCAGTATATAATTGAGTCTTACTTTTTATCCAATATGACAATCTCAGCTTTTTAACTGAGGAATTTAGATAATTTACAACTGGATTATTGATACGGCTGGATTTAAACCTACCATTCTGCTATTTGTTTTCTATTATCTCAGTGGTTGCTTTGGGGCTTAAACATATTTAAATTATCAGTCTATCTTCAAGTAATACTACACTACTTCATGTATAAGAATTTTATAATAGTCTACTTAAATTTCTCCCCTTAAGTTATTGTTATTATATATTTTACTAATACATGTTATTATCTCTATAATACAATTATCATTATTTTATAGTCAATTATCTTTTATAGAGGCTTAATAAGAAATAACATTTTAAATATTTACCCTTGTAATTATCATTTCTAGTAACTTTCATTCCTTTGTGTAGATCTGTATTCTATCTGGTAACATTTTCCTTCTGCATGATGGTCTTTGTTTAACATTTGTAAGAGTGAGTGTACTAGTGATGAATTCCTTCAGTTTTTATGCATTTGAAAATATCTCTATTTTCCCCTCATTTTGGAAGATCTTTTTGCTGGATATAAGATTCATGGTTGACAGTTTTGATACTCTGAAGATGTTATTTAACTTTCTTCTTGTTTGCATTATGACAAGAAAATATAATGTCATTCTTATCTTAGTTTCCCTGCACATAAAGTGTCTTTTTTCCTCTGGCTGCTTGAAGATGTTCTCTATCACTAGTTTTGATAACTTATGACATGCCTTAGTATAATTTTATTCTTGTCTTTTTTTTTAGGAGATTCATTTAGCTTTCTGAATTTGCAGATTTTTAGGTTTCCTCAACTGTGAACAATTTTTTGTCATTTTATCTTCAAATGCTTTTCCAGTCCTCCATCTCTTTTCTTTTGGGTGGTCTAATTACATGGTCTATGAAGTTATCCCATGCTTCACTGATCTCTTTTTCATATTTTTAAAATACTTTTTTTTCCTGTGTGTTTCATTTTAGGTATCTTCTACTGCTATGTTTTCATATTTATTAATCTTTTCTTCCACCATTAATCCCATCTAGTGTATTTTTCATTTTGCTCAATATGTCTTTTTTTATATACTTCATGTC